TGTCACTAACATTGCTATTGTGCCGTCCAGCCCCTTGTAATTATGTCGTAAAGTTTTAGGGAATAAAAAAGTTACCTTCATCATTTCCTAAATTTTCCGGCAAGCTGCGATTAGTGTTGTTAATAATTGGATTTCGTCTCCTTTTCACATAATATATCGATTCTGTATATCGTAACTGTGTTATCACCTCAGAATCCTCAAAAAAATCTGACTATAGTTCAGAACTCATAAATTTCGTCAAAAATATAGTTTCTAGCTAAAATTTTATGGTTTTATAGGTATTTTCGGGTCCGTTGGGTGCTGGAAACTTTTGAAAACACATGAAGAAAAGTAACATTTCGACAGTTCGATACAGATTTTTTCGATTTTTTTTATTTGGTAACTGTGGAACAACTTTTACAGTAATTTCGTAATTTAAAAATTGGTTGAAAGTTATTTTGACAAAACTTACCTCGCCCTTGAAGCACAATCCAACAAATCCCGTTTCTTTGAAAATAATAAAATTTGATTTTGCGAAATTTTATTTGTGATAGTCTGTAGACATAAAAATATGAATAATAGCAATAAAAAGAAACAAAAAAGCCCATAAGAGAATCGAACGTGTTCACGTTACAAGTCCCCTTCTCCTATGTATTGGATACATTTTAGTTAGCGTTTTACCACCTACGTACATGATATTCATAATAGGTATACATACAAAATTATATACGAATAAAACATGATCCGGTATTTTTATAAACGTTGAATTATTCCCTAAAATATAAAAAAATATCCTGTAAGAAAAAAAATCTACTTTTGTCTTTTCGTTACCTTTGACACATATAAAACATAACAATTACTGCAGTTAACCCTCACATAAAAATTATTTTAGTAAAATTATTTACTAGAGTAACATTACGTTCCGTTCTATTACAGTTTTGTTTGACTATTTTTTCCTACGCGGTATACAACCGTTAATTAGCATATAAAATTACATACCGAGATAGCAATGAAGAACAACATAAAAAACAGCTATAGATTTTTGAAAACGTATTTTTTCGAATTTTTGTCGTATCAGGGGTGGGATTTTGTTTCTGTAACGATAAAATATCGGTACCGATAAAATGTGGTTGTCTTTTTCTTTCGCATTTGAAATTTATATTTTCGTCCTTGTCATTTATCGCTTCGCATCGAATCGGTAGAAACAAAATCCCACCCCAGATTACCGTTAATTTGAAAGTTTTAGTGCAAAATGCGACGACCAAAGACAAATAATATTAAAAAATCCATGGCCACCTTTGATCGTGTTTTTTTTTTATTGTTCTCTCGATATTGTTTATTCTACACGAGTAGTATATTGAATTCATTACCATTATTTGAAGCAAAACAAATTAGCACACATATTTTAAATTGTACTCAAATTATAGAATTTGACAATAACTGAGAACTACCGTTGGACATTTGTTCATATTGTTAGAAACATTTTCCGTGTATCCGCTTCAAAAATATTTATCTTCCAACCTACACTTCAAGGGAGTGAAAGCGATTCGCTATCCAAAGACAATTATATCATTTCTAGTCGTTGAATGTTTTCCCATGTAATAAAAAAAATCCTAGGAATGTGAATTTTTGATATAATGAACCTTCTTTAACTTCTACATTTTCTAACCTACACCGGTTAGTTTCTCCTTCCACATAATCCACTTAGTTCAAAAACCATTACTACCTTAAAGATATATATTTTTTTCACTAGCAGCCATGAAGCATGCAAATGTCGACTCATTTAGAGGTAGCAAATTCAACTTTTGCAACCACGGGTTCAAAAAGAAGATTGAGGTTTTGTACGCAATACTTGATGTGTTTATTTCTTAAAAAATGAATAAATGTGTGCTACTAACATTACTTGAGTATACGCATGGTAGTTGTAGACGGTCGAAGATAAAATAATTAATTCAGCGACAAGTGTAAACGGTGTTGAAGATTTAGATTAAGTTTGATTAGAAATCAAAACAAAATCATGTTGCGTGAAAAAATTGAACGTTTATTTTTTCAATTTATTGTCTTATGGTTTCTACTAGTGAAAAAAATAGTATATTAGCCACGATTGCAAAGCCACTTCTAGACCTCGCGCTTCAGAGCCCTCGACGCTGCGCGTCTCGGGTTCTAATTTGCGCTCGGTCTAGAATGCTTGGATTTGCAACCTTGGCTAATAATATACTATTCTCGACGTTTTATGATCCAGGAGTGTGGAAAAAGTGAATCTCCCGTTTCCGTCTCTTTGTCGTCTGTCTATCGTTTCATGTGACGATTTATTTATAAGACAGATAATCTCCGAAACTACTAGACCTACTACTGTCAAATTTTGTATGTGTATTAGGAATGTTGTGTAGAGGTAAAACGCTAACCTAAATTTAGCATAGTAACTTTTCTATTAATTTTATGAGAAAGAATACTTGTGGCTTATGAGTCCATCTTTATATTTAACACTACACACCCAGATTTTTTATTGTAGAAAGTTTGTAAATCCTGGGGGCTGTATTTTTAATTTACAATTGCTTATACAGGATGGCTCAAAAGATACGTATAGCATGATACTTTACTTGTGCTTTAAGAATCCACATATTTTGTTTTCACTCATAAGGGTTGTCATAAAAAATAAAATACACAAAATCAAATTTTATTATTTTTCGAAAAAGCTGGATATGTTGTGTTGTACTTCAGGGGGGAAGGGAGTTCTGTCTAATACTCTATACCCATTTTTTTACTGTGGATATGAAGAACTTGTAGTCTTTCTTTTCTAATAATTACTAAATATTCAATGATATCTTGTTTGCTAAAAATCCTAGTTCAACCTGTTGAATTTACGTTTGAAAAATATAATCAGGTATCCAAGGTCAATATGAAGGATCAAGTCATCATACATTAAATTGCTTTTACTTGGAAAACTGGCATTGCATTTTTAATAAGAAGTTGCCGTTTCCCCATAAATAGATGATAGATCAGTTATTAAAGTTGAACCTTTGAAGAGCTATTGGGTACCTATCTGTCAGGTTGAAATATAACGAAAAAGCTTAGGAAAGTTAGGTTATGATTGACATTTGTGGCAGACAGTAAGTAAGTCTTCAATCATCCATCATAACGAGGAGGCAACAATCATGAAATGTTGTATAATAATTTCAAGGAATTTTTTTATAGATAAAACATTTTACAACATGGGTTTGACCAGAGAGAACATTTTCTAGTTGTGGGTAATTTTTAAAAATATACTTATGTCTTTCGTAAAATTCGCATTTTTACTTCATATTTCATTCGGTCATTTTTGAATAGGGTTAGAGGACGTTATAAACACTGATCGTGAATTTCGCGTCAAAAGTGAAAAAACCCTTTTTACTTCCCGAAGGTGGGTACTTACAATGTGTCTAATCAGCCCCACCAACAATTTAATGACTGAAATTCAATTTTTTTATAGTAAATTGTATTTAAATTTTATAGAATAATATAGAATAAAATTGGCAAAATTTAATGTTATATATAATTTTTTGTAAAAGCTGTATTTGTCGACTGTATTTCAGGGCAAAGGAAGTTCTGTCTAAATTTTAGACCATTTTTTTCCGTATCACAAGCCAAATTTCCTGAATGTAGCTACATTCTTTCTAAAATTTTACATCGGGAAATCATTACAATATTATGTAAAAGCATAAAACAGGACGCATATTGAAGACAAAACGTATCGGATAGGATCTAACATGAATGGTTCGAACAAATATTTAAAGCATTATCCTTTTTGAAGACTTGCACACTGAGAGCAAAGCACGTAGGACAGGCAGTGTTGATGCATTTTGTAACACAAATACTTATAACATTATTGCCTTATATATTTTTTTTTCATTCTTAAAAAAAAGCAATTGAAGGAAGGAATTACACAACGCTAGTGTATAATTGTTTTGAGAATGTTGGTGTCAATCAGATAGTAAAAACCTTAATTCTGGAAACCTTAAAATCGAATCAGCTACGCTATTTTCACCCAAATGAGTTTTATGAAAATTGTAACCTCATTAGTCCGTCCGAGTGTCGTGGTGATATCTAGCACTGAGAATTAAATAGCCCCTATTTTACATTACCATTGCCGCGTCAACCTCATTATGCAAACGGCAAGACCCACCCTCAATCCTCTGAAGCTCGAGACGCTGAACAACAACAACAAAAAATATAACCAGCCCCAGTCGACACTTATCACGTCAATTGACTCGTTCAATTGGCACTTTTTCCCTACTCGAATGGAACAAGTCATGTGGAGTTATTGTTTCGAAATGCGCTTCCGCTTATCAAGAGGGAGCATGAGGGTTGGACGGATGTTCCACTCTGATAAATCGGTCTGTTTAGGGACATAACGGCGGAAATTTTGCTAAATGTTGCTTTTTTTGTGTGGTGCATGTTTGATTTTTCAATTTGCGACGACGGCTGATAGGATGGCGGAATGAAAACATCTGGTGAAAAGGGATTACCACATTTTATAAATGGTTTCCTACTTTCGAGATTGGTTTCGTGGATCCAAAATGAAAATGCTCTTAGTGCAGCGGATGGCTTAATTGGGGATTTCGGTACTGGTGACAGCACGTCAATAAATGCATTTGCATATTGTGTACGAGCTAAAAATATTTATGGTTAAAGTAAGAGCGGCAAACGCTGTACGACGTGTGATAACTATGTAAATGAGCTGAGTTATCTCGTTTAGCATATTTTGTTATGAAGAATTAAGCAATGATTTCAGTTTTTAAATTTAATATTTTCATTAATATAATGTAACGTGTACATTTAAAATAGAATGACCGTTGATAACGCAAAATAGAGATTTTTAATTTGCTTAAATTATCATTTATCATTGTGACAAGTGCGGACTGCAATCTATGTATAAAACGAGATTTAAAAGCTTTCACATATTCACAATAGCAAATATTGATAAGTGGCAATAAATTATATTTGATAATTACAAAATAATTATAATGCATTTATTGTTTCAGATCGTGCAAAATACCTCAGCGGGAAAACGGATTAAGAACGGGATTTTACTGCAGGTGAGTACAGATTATTAAAAATTGAAAATCATTTTACTCTTTTTTATAAATAAGAAAATAAGTTTACGACATTTTCTGAAGAACTATTTTGATGTCTCATTACTAAATTTATTACGACAGAAACCACTAGTATTGTTCTATGAACATTTTTTTATTGATTTTTGTGGTTAAAGTTTTACATAAATCTGAAAACTCTTTAAAATTGGATGAATTTCATCAATCAATAATCTGTTCTGTATAAAACACGTTATAGTATGTTTGACTGCATACTAAAGCTTGAGATAACAAATTTTATGCATGTATTATTAATGGACATGCGTTACATTATTTTAGACAATTCTCAAACGATAAACTAATAAGGTAGTTCAAGCGCAACAAATTTATGCATTTTGAATATTATCAAACCTAAACTATGGATTTCAATAATTGAAAAATTTTAAAAATACATTTTTTACTTCCATGCACACCTACCTAACAGAACTTTCAGAAACATGTATACATATTGAAAATCAAGAGAACCTAAAGCTTATTTATATTATTTATACGTTTTTAGTAATATTTTGCTGAATAATGGAAGTACTTTTAACTAATAATACGGTACAAATCTCCGATAAATAGAATAAATTTTGGCAAAACGAAAGACTAGGTATGGACTATAAAAAATATTTGCCCTTAATTAATTATGAAATGAAAATAACCTTTCTTTTATTAATTTTTCTTAAATTTTACGTACAGTGACCCAAAATTTAATTCTTGTTTAAGCATTACTCGCATTTACAATTTACACATAGCAGTTACAAACTCGGGCACCAGTTTTTTAATGTAAGGTGCTGCATTGCAGCGATCACCTGGATAATAATTCAATGGAGAATGTATCTCTGTAATAATCAGCGCGCGGAATAAAATCTTACTGCTGCAATTGGTCATTTGAAGTAAGGTGTGTTTTATGACCTGTAGTAGGACGCTTTGATCTGATACACAAGGACGTCGTCACTGCGTCTCACTAAGATTGTTTACGGCTGCTAATAATACTACTTCTATATTACTATATTACTTCAAATAATAATACTCGGAGCCTTTTTTAATTTTTCTACCACAGGACATCGTAGCTTCCTCTTTTGGGCGAGCCGTTTTTATTGATTTGATTTATCAATTCACACCTATGGGACCTCAGAGTAGTTTGATTACCCCACTCTTATAACGACTTCCGGAGAGCGTTGGTCCCTGTCCATATTTTGGAAAATCAGGAAAGTCCAAGTGAACACTCTCAAAATGCCCTCGTTGTTGCTTTGTCACATTTCCATCCAGTGCTGTACTTCGTGTTGGCAATTTGTGAATGCCTATCAAGAAATCCGTCTTAAACCTTCTGGTTTTCATCTACGTTTCTGGAACGCGGTCACTTTCGATGGCTCATTGGTCATCATTTTTACCTACTCCCTTACAAAGACGACTCTGGGTTTTTCATCTTTTCCGGAAAAATTTCTGAAGGGTGTGGTTGATAGTTGTAAGATCTATCTTGGTGGTCCATTTTTAGCGTTTTGAATTGGAAAGAAAATCTGGGTGAATCCAAGCCGTCCTTGTTTGATTCTTTCCCGATATCTCGTTTGGTGAACGATATTGGCAACCGTGCCATTTTGAGATACCCATTTGATTTTTTGGAATTTTTGGTGCTCATATTTGTTACTATTGATCCTGAAATTTTTATTTGCTGCTAAATAGCATAATTTTTGCCCATTTGTATTTGTCTTTTCGTGTATTGTGTGTTTTCTCGCTACTTGTCCAATGTTCTTCTTTGAATCGATTTCTATTTCTGCCTCAAGATTATCGTCGAATTTTTCTTTTTCTTCATCTATACCGCTTTCTGTCGGTGCATACACATTTATCACTGACAACTTGAAAGATTTTGCTTTAATAAGTCACACCCAGGCAATTCTCTCATTTTCTGGTCTAAATTCTAATCCATTAATTTTCCCATGATAAGAGGGACTACTCCATATTGACCTTGCTTTTGTTCACCCGAATATAATAAGTTAATAATGTAAAATTCGTTTTATTTATTTCTCCTTGTCTTTTTCATCTTGTTTCCTGTACTGCAGGTTATCTGTTTTGTATATTTACACTTCTCTGGCGATTTCTTGCATCTTTCATATTGTTAACAGTGTTCTAACGTTCCATGTGCTGATTTTTCTTTTTTACTTCTCGAGTGTAGGCTAAGGAAGTATTGTAATCGAGTCCATCGGGCAACGGACTGCTTTCAAATTTTCTGACCCATCATGACCCCTAGAGTACGAAAAAATGGGTCCCTCGTTTCCGTCTGTCTGTCTATCTATCTATCTGTCTGTTGGCCGTCTATGTCCACACCAATTGAAGTCAAATTTTATATGTGTATTGGGAATTTCATGTAGAATTGTAGATGGTAAAACGCTAACCAAACTGTCTAATCATCCCGACCAACAATGTGATGACATCACCTCAAAATTGTACATATATAGTAAGTGGGTTTTAACTTGTTTAAGATAACATAGTCCTACATGTGTAATTTATGAATCCGTGCTGAGTTTTTACCTGGAACGTCTAGAAAAAACCCGAATGTTTTGAAATCTTGCACATGTTTTGTTATCATAAGCATGGCAAATATTTAATAAAAAAAATTCTCATGCCTGTACTTTACAATTTCATAGCTGAAGTCGTCTTCACATCTTTGTTTCCCTGTATGGTATGAATTTCTGCATGTCTTTAGCCTTTCTTGTCCTTCTTGGTCATAACCTGTGGGTGACGTGTCACTCTGTTTTCTTCTCTTAGTCTTTTCTTCTTCCTTTCTCATTTTCCTTATTTGTCCTAAGCTCTGAGTCTTTTCCATTTATGCGTAGCTTGTTGTATATCAGTTTACCTTACGCCCTTTCTTTCCCATCTTTCATCCATCTCATTAGTTCCATGTACTCTCCTTGATGTTTTTGCTATAATCTTCGTTAATGAAAATTCTTATATCCTTTAATTTTTGTTGCTTGTAGTATTTCCATTTTTTTATTCCTGTCCTCTTTTTAAACAAGGATTCATCAAGGTCTTATGGTCTGGCCGATCTAAGCTTATGCGGCGACCTTCACGCCGCCGGGCGTGGCGCCTTCGGTCAGAAGCGGCGATCGCTCGGGCGCCGGGATTGCCCTCAAGCCGAAGACACGGATCTCAGGTGGTGAGCGCCAACGAAAACAAGATAATAAAATAAAACGGCAAGGAATATTTTAAATAATAATCGGGTTTATTCCCTGCCACCAGCTACACGGCTAAAATAATAAATCTTACGGCTAATGTTGAATAAAATAAATACACAACGGTTTTACGAACAAAAATAAACGAAAAGAATTAAATGTCCGGCACGGTCGTTCCTCCTGGACGGCGACTTCCTTCAGGACGAGCTCCTCCTGGACTTGGGGGCGGTGACCTTGCAGCTGTGGCGCGGTGATGGTACACGACGCGTGCACGACGGTTTCGACTTGTGACGACGACCACAAAGAAAACGGTGATGGCGGTACCGTTTTTCGCTCGGGGGCGGAGATTCAAAAACCGGTACGCCGACAGGTAGAAAACCCAAGACGGTACTTACGGTGGTCGGTTCAGGGCTCCTCCAATACTCAAACTCAAAAACTGCCAAAACTCTGTTCACCACAGCACTTCTGCACCCTTCAAGGGTTCAGGCAAGAATCCTCTTCTTTTGCCGCGGCGGCGCGGCGATCGCGGATTTACCCCTGGCTCTCGCCGTAGGTGTCACGGTTTTCGGCCCGCGAAAATTCGCTTCGTTACACTATAAATGATTATAGAATCGAAGTAAGTCATGAAAACGTGCCGCCTCTCAGTTTTCGACTTTACTAAATGCTCAAGGACGCACGACAAATATCACACCCATCTGTATAACTGGTTGCCTAAATACTTCAACTCATTACAACAAATTACACAGTAAATGTTGAAAATGTTCACCATTTTGTTCAAGGCACATGTTCATTCTCTTTTTAATTTCAAAAATTTTCTGTAATCCTTTCGTCAATACCCATTTTTCAATTTCATGTTGCAACAGGAACTCCTAACTTCTGAGAAAATCTTGTCAAATATGTTTGCGGATTCTGCTCAATTCATCTCAGATCATCAACAACTTCCTCAGATACTGAAAGTCTTCCAGGAGATTTCCCTTTGTTTAGATTATCAGTTTGAACAAATTTGTTGATTACATCTCTAACGTGAGCCTCTTTCTTAAATTATTAAATCACGGTATTTGGCCAAATATTCTTGCTTACAGGCGGGTACAGAATAAAACCAACCCTTAGTTTTCGAATGTCCTTATGCGATAACAAGATATAACAATAAAAGTGTCTTGTTCAACACAGTCTTCGCTTCTTAGCACTAAAACTAAATTTTCGTACGCAAGCACCAAGAGTTTCGAAAACGACTGTTTCGTTGTGTTGAGCTTGGATCAACGAGAATTAGTGTAATTCCCACTTGAAAAACCTTAAAACAACAAAAACGTTGGTTTTAAATGAAAGGTTACAGTTGGCATTAACAACTACGCCCTTAGAATCATTTATAAACACCCTATACTTCTTATTTCATCAATTTCCTCCTGTACGTTCATCTGTACTTCAAATGTAACCAGTATTTCTTTCATTTTGCTCTTTATTTGCATAAATAACCCTCAACCGATTTTTTGTGAATTGGAATTACGTTCGCGACTTTTAGTCAAGATAAGAAGATAACTTTTTAGAGAGATAAGTTTGTAATATGAGCAAAAGTTTCTGCAATGCTTTTAGAAAAAAGGATTTACTGGAAATTACTTTCATAATATATGTTTAATTTAATTAAGTTTGGAGCAGATTTTTACGACGCCTCTTTCTTGTAAAAACCTTTTCAACATTTCTGTAGTAATCATTCATCCATTTTCAAATTTGAACGAAAGGCTATTAGCAATTAATTATCAACTTTCAAATCTTAGCCGGCGGTAATAATATTCCCGC